AGATGATTCCTTTAGTTAAAGCTTCAATCAAGTAACTGATAAAGATTTCTTAAAAGGGTATATTACTAGAAGTCGATGGATAACATTGGCAAATTTTAGTAAATAAAATGTGACTTAATACATGGTAAATACAATCGACTCTAGATATAACGAAACTACTCTATAACGAACTTTTTTAAAATTAAGAGTTTGGTATAGAAACATAATATATTACTCTGTTAGGGACTTCTAAAATGTTTTATTACAAGAAAATGTCAGTTCGTTATAGAGTTGACCGTATATTAAAAAATTCAAATGTCTTTTTTGATTCTGTTAACGTTATGGGTATGTTCTTTAATTACATACTTTTCCGTTTTGAAAATATCTTGTAGTATAGAACATTGAAATATCGTATTACTTGGTCAAAGTGCTTAACCATTCGTAAAATTTCTACCGAGTTAAATTTGACCAAAAATACTTAAAATATTAATACAAATTAATATAATCATTATTTATCATTATTTCGTAATTTTTTAAAAAAACGGGTGAATTGCAATATTGATTATCGATATAATTTGAAATTAGTAGTTTTAAAAAATCAATTTGGTTTAGAGGTTTAGATATATAATTTATTTTCAAGTTTTAAATAGGCCTCAGGTAACTTTGTGGATTTAGGTCGTAAATATTTGTTAGTTTATATTCAATTTTATTAATGAATGGTCTTGTTTTCAATGGAATGATAACAAAATTTTTTCATTTTTACTATTAAATACTGTATAAATAATCATATAGTTGATATTTCTTTTTCAGCGAACTGTGGAAAAATTATCAGAGATCACTTCTTTTTGAGCCGTCCCTTTCGACTAGGTCTCGCATTTTTAGACCTTCGCTTTTCTTTTATTCTTCTTTGCTTGCAAATTTGTTCTACAGTTTTGAGTTCATTCTTGGCCTTGACAGAATTTCGGGAATTTGCTTTTTTCAAATTCTTTTGTTTTTTCCCGTGATTCGTTGCAAGAGGATCCAAGGGTTCGGAAGAATTAGTTGCTTTGTGACGAAACTTTTTAACGTCAAAACGTGCTGATTGTATTTCTTCTTCTCCAGTACGAGGTATTAATAACTTATGTTGCTGTTGCCACTCTGTGAACCTGTGGGAATAAGTAACGAAATTGAGGACATTGATCTAATAATAAATTCAAAGTCAAAATTTTACTAACCTCCCGCTTTTGTATGTAGCCGGTAACTTTGTTCCATTTTCACTGATAATAAATTTTTTGTTGTCAGACCCTATGCCATCACCACGAACAAAGTTCTTCTTTTTACCATCCCATCTTAAACCTTTCTTTTTATTTACACCCGGAATCTGTTCATCATTTTGATGACCAAAAAGAGCTCTTTTTGATTCCTCAGCGAAAGATATGCCTTGATTTACTGAATATCTATTGCGGAAAGTTATTGTGACGAAATCATTCATTTTACCTATTCATTTTAAATTAAATGAATAAATTATCCAATTTACAAACCCTTTTTCTGTATTTGCATCTTTTTGATAATGAGGAATATAGTATTCCTCATCTCGAAAATTATCTTTTTTCTGTCTTTTAGCTAATTAAAATATTGATAGAGGATGTATCAATATTAATGATTGGAACCAGAAAAACACTTTCTCCCAAAAAATTACTAACAAATTTTAGTAGAATCATCGGTCTTTCGTTTCTTGGTTATACTAGGTGTTAGAGCCTAAAATATAACACGTAAATAACGCGTAAATGAACGAGCAAGCTAAATCTTAATATACCTTTGTTTCGTCTTCATAATCATTGGGCATATTTTCACAATTTGTTTGCATTTCCTTTGTATTTATTGTCGCCTTCACTACAGTTTCTTTACGTTGTTTTATTATAGGTGAGGTAAGTGATGACTTTTTTTTCCCTCTAGTTCCTATTTCTAAAATCGTCTAACAAATGAATGTAAATGAATGTTAATAATACAAATAACGTTATGTTACATATAATAAATCAATTTAAAAAGAAATGAAATTAACCCACCTCCGGTGGCCGAAAATTCGAAATTGAGCTTATGAAACTGAGCCGACTTTTTTCTTGATCATTTACTTGATCGGCTTGAAATAATAAATTTGTTAATAATTTTCACATAGAAATATAACACAAATGCATATAGTATACAAACCAAAAAGAACGTGCACGTCATTCAAATTATTCATTTCTATAACTTTTTT